AAGTAAATATTCCTTTATTAGATATTTTCCCCTAGAGAATGTACTCTCTCAGGGTGAAAGAGATTGTCCTTCCACACACACAAAGTTGTGGGAAATTATTCTTTGTAAACAACTAATCTTTTTGGTACAAATGTTTCTTAAGAAGGTGAGAAAATACAAATTTGGCTTCAGAACAATCACAAATAGAATGGTTGGTTAAAATGTTTTAATTATTTGAGTTGCTTCAGGCCATTAGAGATTTCTTTCTTCTATTTTTTAAAAATCTTCATTGACACTCCCCAGAATAACAACACTACCTTTGATGTAGGGAACATCTCTAAAGCCCTGGAGGGGAGAACATTTTCTTGAAGAAATTGAGCAAAGTATGCTGTTATCAAAGGATCCATGTCTCCTAAAAACTCCTATTCCTTGGTTCTTTTCAGACAATCCCACCGGTCAGAGTAAATCAATAAAAAAGTTTCCCTTAACTTTTCTGAAGGCTAATTGCTCAAACATATATAGTAAAATTATATACTATACTGTTCACTCATTTGAGGGACATTATGTATTATTTGATTATTGCTTGATAAGAGAGAAAATTAATTTTTTTTTATAGTTCACATCGTCATAAGACATTCTAACACATGCTTTAGGAATCTCAGACGCCAGCCAGTAGGGTGAGTCAGACACCATCTCCCAATCTCAGTCGGAAGGATCTTGGTGCCTCCCAACCTTTCCTTCTTTCTCTTGTTACCTTCCTTCCTGTTGTGAAGGGGAGAGGGCTCATCTCACATAAGGTACAAAGTGGAAGAAGACAAATAAATGAAAAACAACAACATTTTGACCTAAAAATGCCCACAAGTAAAGGGGGACGTCTCTTAAGCTCTATGTCAGTTGTAATAAAATACAAATGACTAGTAAATACTATGATAGCTGCAATGGATCTCACTCTCTCTCAGCATTCCAGCTACTGTGCCACTAGAGAGACCTATCAGGAAATCTGGCCCTGGGACTCTCCACTCAGAGCTCTTCACAGATTGTCCTGGTTTCTCGGGATATGTGGAGCTCATAGCAGTTCTGCCAGGATGCTGCCCGGGCTGGACCCGACCTGTCAGTGCTGTGGTCAGAGATGCCTGGCCGCCACCTGCCCCACTCCCCGGGGCTCAGCTTTTGTTCAGGCTGCTTTCCTCTGTCAGCAGCTCCTAGCTTGCTCTCTCCTTCCCCTCTATTTGCTTTACTGGACAGACCTTCTCAACTTTTACAGGAACAGCTTTATTGAGGTATAAGTGAGACACAAAGAATTGCATGTATTTAATGTGTACAATGTGATGAGTTTGGACAGATGCAAACACCTGTGATCTCATCACCACAACCAAGGTAACTGACATACCCAGCACCTCCCAGCCTTCCCTTGTGTTCCTTAGTGTGTGCGTGTGTGCATGTGTGTGGTAAGAACACCTAACATGAAATCTACCCTCTTAACAAGTTCTGAAATGCACAATACTGCATGGCTACCTATAGGCACTATGTCGTAGGGCAGATCTCTGGGATGTAATCATTCTGCATAACTGAAACTTTATACCTGCTGAATAACACTCCCCAGTACTCCCGCCCCTATGTGCTCTCTGCTTCCGTAAGTCTGACCATTTCAGAAATCTCAAAAAGTGGAGCCATGCAGTCTTTGTCTTTCGGTGAACTGGCTTATTTCACTCAGCATAACGTCCTCCGGGCTCATCCATGTGTCGTGATGAGCAGGAGTTCCTCCTTGTTTTTAAGGCTCAACCTTTATGTTTCAGTTGTCAATTCCAGAAGAAAACCACCCTGGCGTTATCTTTTCTAAGTTTTCTTCCTCTGTTCACATTTTCTGTGAGTTAAACTTAAATACTTGAAGGGCAAGGACCACATCGTATTCATTTTTGCAAGCCTAGCTCCCAACAGTGTTAGGCACATAGTAGGCCTTAAATAAATGTTTAATAGTTTGTGAAACTATTAAATGATGTGAATTAGAAGCAGGTTGATTTTTGTATAAGCTCATTTTCTTAAAATGTTAGTTAATATGATCTTGAAAGGACTGATTTTGAAGAACTCTGTTCATTTCTAACCATTTGGGAAATAACAGTCCTCTTGCTAAAGTACATTATGTTTAGGGAAATTAAACATGAAGGTGGCATAGAAGAATGTGGGAAGCCAGGTATTTCACCTTTCTTTTCAATGCTTCCCTTAACTCATTCCTGTAAGAATGACAAGGTGCTTCATAGGACTTTTTGCAGTATGGTGGTATGCATGTCATCTATTATGTGAATAACTTAAAAAAATACAAAAGCTGATGAAAAATGTACCCCAAGATAGAGTTTTGATAATACTCGTATCAGACAAAAGATATTTAACCCACTAGAGGAGTTATCCCACAATCAAAAAGACAAAGAGTTTCCATAAACCACAATTCTTATACAAAAATGAGCAGATGATATAGTCTAATAATTCTTTTTAAACAAGAGCTGACCTATGAATAAAAACCTTTTCTTTTTTGAATAGAATTTCCCCCTTTTTTTGGTAGCCTAACAGATTGGTATTTTATTATATTACAAAAGATAATAAACCACTTTTCTTTTAAATACCGTGTACTCAGGATTTAATGAACACTGTGTGTCAGACCCATAGCTGAGTTTAAATTCTAAATCTAATACTTGAAATAAAATAAGTACCTCTCTCTCCCAAACACTCTGGCAATCAAAACCTGTGGAATTGAATATTATAAACTCTTTCATATGGTCGCATATTTCTTAATCTTCTAAATTCTTCAGTAAACTCATTGGATCTACAGCTGAGGACTCATTCCAGGATGTGATGTAATCCTCTTCTCTCCTAGACATTTGGCAAGCCTGTCATAAAGGCCTTCATCATTCAAATTCCTCCTCTGAGACAACAATTATCTTGTCTTGAAAGCAGCATCATGCATTTAGAAAACTATGGGAAAGTCTAATCTTGCCTGTTAGCTTGTACCAGCTTTTCTTGTTTATAGCACGAGACAATTACCGAAAATCCTACAATAAGTTCTCTCTTTTGCCAGAAAATTTGGGATAAAAATCAACAGAGCTGATTCCTTTAAAGACTGGATTCCAGGATGTCCAATTGATGCCATTTTCCCCCCAGTTGTTTCATAACCAGTATCAACTGACACCAGCACATTGCTAAGAGAACAATTTACTTGAACGGCTAAATGGATGAAATGAAATCATTGACAGAGCAGCAATCTTTTTCACCTTTGGCATGTGGCCGCACCCTAAGTGACTCCTAAGGAGCTCAGTCTAGAGCCCTCTAGTGGTGGCGCAGGTGGTTCTAGCCTTTAAAAAGTCACTTATTTTCCCGTCTTCATTTTCTCATCTATGAAGTATATTCATTTGTTGACTCATTCATTAAATAATTAACAGTTACATGCTACATGCCAGAAACTGTGCTAGACAATGATGATAAAATAGAGGTTCAAAAAATATTCACAGGGCAGTGGTCAGAAAGACAAGGAAAATAGGAGTCACAAAACAATGTGCTCTGTCTGCAGGAGGCATAAGCTCATAGGATTGCAGAGGATGACACATCTCGTGCTGTGCTGAGAGCAGCGGCAAGGGCTTCGTGGGAGACCTGGGGTCTGAGCTGAGTCCTGCAGGTGGGGAAGCTCACCTGGGCCTTGGGGAGAACATTTGCAATGTGTGGCATTTTGAGATCATAAAGGAAGATGACACTACAGGTTGCAAAAGAAGAAAGGGCACAGAGGAGGATAGACAAAGATAGGAAAAGGACAAACTTTGAAGGGACTAGAATGGCTGTAGAAGATATGGAATCCATCTGGAAGGAAAGGGACGTTATTAAAGAGTTTTCAACCAAAGAGCTACGTGATCAGAGTTATGATTTAGAAATATTACCCCACTTGTAGAAGGTAGAGGCAATGAGACAGCTGGGAGAAGCCTACAAAAATATAGATACAAATTGACAAGGGCCTAAATAAGGCAGTGGTATGAGGAATGAGAGCTGATGGGAAGTAGAATTGACACGATTTAGGAACTATTTGGATGTGGAGGATGAGAGAGAGAAAAAAAACCTAGGGTCATTTTTAGAGTTTAGTTTCGGACAGGCTATGTTTGTAGTACATAGGAGACCTCCAAGTGGAGATACTGAGCAGGCCGTGGGGTGTAGGAGCCTGGAACTCAGGAGGAATGTCTGGGTGGAAATAGAAGACTGGGATTCTTTAAACCGTACAGCATATAAATAAGGGAAGGGGGAACAGCTTTACGGAAGGAGACAAAAAGGATGGCCTCAAAGGTAGGAGAAAACGATCAGCGTCAATGAACCAAGAGAATAGAGAGTTTCAAGGATAGAACAGTCAACAGCGTCAGTTCCTATACAGCAGTGAAATAAGGTGAAGCCTGAAAGGCACTCAAGGAATCTCGTGACTCAGAGATATTGGTGATCATGGAGAATGCAGGGCCAGCGGAGTAGCTTGGACATAAACCAGACTCTAGTGGGTTGAAGAGTTAGCAGGAACACAAGAAATTGCACACTTCCTCTAGAAGCTTGGGATAAAGGATGAGATCAGCTAATTGGCTACACGATCTTTATGGCTCTCTTTAGCAACAATATTCTATGAAATTCTACTGGCAAAATAGCTGTGTCAAGAAAAGTAGGCATGCTTCCCCAGATGTCTGACTCACCACCAGCCTGGATGTTAAGAAATTGAGGAGATGGGGCTCAGGTGGGTTCAGCACAGGGGTTGCTGATCTGGGACTCGGCTTGGGGTGCCCATGCAGGCAGCACACTTGCTCCTGTCCAGGAATGAAGTGGGCAGGGGGTGCAGCCGGCCACCAGCCTCCCTGATCTCTTGGTTGTTGGTGGTGGGAGGTGTAGGGAGCACAACCATGTTAAACAGTGGAAAGATGGAGATTATTATCTACAGGGGATTAAGAAAACCTTTAGATGAACACACAGCAGTACAGAGGGACTCATGAAATACCCTACTGTTTACTCACAGGTGGTCCTGGAGGCCCTGGTTTTCCTGGAGGACCTGGTTTTCCTCGTCTTCCCTAGAAACCAAAGAGAAACAGACAACAGCTACTGTGATTCCATTTATTTTAAGATGAGACAATATTAAATGGCAATTTTAAAGACTAAAAATTAACTAAAAGTTAAAAAACAATTCCAAATCCACATGACCTTTAAAGACCTGTGAAGTCTAAAAGCTCTGAGACAATTTTTAACAGCCAAGATGAGAAAAACAGTGCCTGGAATGAATCAACTGTGACTCTTACTAGCAGCCCTTTAAAGGCTGTCTACTTTGGTACTCTAGCAAAGTAATATAAAGTATCTGAAGGATGGTCTAAGATGGGCATTTTATCTGATAATTCAGTGGGTTCAGGTGCAATAATAAATGCTTTTATCATCTTAAATTGGTATTTCTCAAAGAGTGATCTGAATTCCAATTTTATAGGAGCTTCCTGAGGGTGCTATCAGGTATTAAAAATACACTTTTCTGGGCTCCATCCTGGACTTACTGGTTTAGGATCTCTGGGGAAGGGATCCATGAATATGCATTTAAAAAACCCCTTGAGGTAATACTCATACTCACTAAAGTTTGAAAAGCACTTCCGTAAGCCATATTATAATTATATATCTTGTGAAAAGCACATTAACTAGCTCTTTTCTTCCCTTTGGATGATTAAGCTGTTTTATAAGTGAAATAAAATGTTCACTCCTTGCTTATTAATCTTCATTATTGTAAGTGAATGTTAACTCCCCAAGTTTACAACTAGCTAAATTCCAATTGCAAGAGCCAGAATGACATTTCTAAGTACCTGGGTATCTATAGCATTTAAAAAACATCGATTTATTATACATTTATTTTCTTACTTATTTTCTTTCCTTTATCATAGAAGGAAACAAGCTTAGGTATGGATAGCACACATTTTGAATGAGAAGCATTTCTGAGCAGGTTTTCTAATTCTGTTTCATTGTTACTAATAACTTTATTTTATTACCATATTGGTAGTATGTTAATACATATTAAGGCTTGTTGTTACTTAAAAGGTAAAAGTATTAGGCTGATCTTTCAACTCTTTTTGGGGAGAATTGTAAGCATAAACAAGGAAAGGCCCATTTCACTGACGGATTTTCTTGCTCTGAAAGAGTCAGGCTTGATCTTTCTGGCCTTCAGCTAAGCTTGGAGTTGGGTAGGAAATGCAATACCCACTGAAGCAGCAGAGTAAGGTCTGGAAGGTAGGTAAGCAAATGCGACACTGTGATTGGGTGGGAAATGATTGCATTAATTGCTGAAGGCAAGTTGAGTACCTACTGTCAAGGACTCCATATAAAAATGGCAGCTGTATTCATAAAAAATCCTGGCTAACAACTACAGAACAGATTTTTTAAAAATTTCATTAAAACCAGAAATAAAATGAGTAGTTATTTTCATGTACTTTCTGTTTTAGAGATCTGAACCTTGGATTTCCTTTGGGGGGTTGTAAGATTGGAATGAATATATAATTTAATATTCTGTATACTGAATAAAAGTTACACACATGGACATAATTTTCTTGTTTTGCAGTTTATACATTCTGAAAACCAACATATTGGGTCTTTTAGTAAATGCAAGTCAATCAGCCCCTGAAGATTAATCAATGATAAAACGTTTACTTGGAAAGTGGAGGCATTTATTCATTTACAAGAGCACAAAGAAACAAAATCGGTGACATTGGAGTAGGTGATTGGTTCTTTCTTTTAGGTTGAGGTAAGTTAAAACCATAGGATAAACTTTGTGTGCAGTCTCCTTTCCTTAAAGGAGACATATATATTGATTTGGGCAGGAAGTGGAGAAAATGAGGTTATTGATCAACTTTTATCACAGAGTTAATGTTTAAGATAAACCAAGTCTCAGATATTGTAGCATAACATTGTCATGTCTTAACATGAGGAGTAGACGCATTCATGGTTCAGTATGGTACGGGCAAGCTTCCAAACTCTTGCACATCACTGCTGATTTACATCATTGTTCAAAGCCTTGCGACTGTCAAGAGTGTGCGGATGTGTCTCTGGAAGAGCACAGGGGAACGCTGATTGTCTTTATGCCTCCTTGCTAACAGTAGACATGCAGGTAAGATGTTTTTGAGGATCGTCAAATTATTGGAACATACTGTACACAGCTGACTTCAGCCAGCACGTATTTTCAGTTTAAATGTGGTTTCTAGGCTTGAATTTCTAGTAATATCCTGAAGCAGATTTGAATATTTTTTTCTTTTTCAGCTTTACTGAGATATAATTGGCATGTAACATTGTGTAAGTTTCATGTGTACAAGTGATGCCTTCATACACTTATATGTTAGGAATAAAGTTAGTGAATACCCCCGTCAGCCTACATAATTACCATTTGTGTGTGTGTGTTGAGAACATTTAAACTCTACTCTCTCGGCAACTTTCAAGTATAAACACAATATTGTTAACTATAGTCACCATGCTGTACATTAGATCCCCAAACTCATTCATCTTCTAACTGGAAGTCTGTGCACTTTGACCGGCATCTCCTCATTTCCCCTTCCTCAGCCTTTGGCAGCCAACATTGTCTCTGTGTCGATGAATTAGGCTTTTTTAGATTCCATACTCTGGGGCTGGGGCTGTGCCTGGGAGGGCCAGGGAATACCCTCCTGACGTCGATAGAGGGGCTGTTTTTGCGTGTTTCTTTCCACTTCTGTCTCCTCTTATTTCAGGCCCTTCATTCTAGACCCACTGTAAAGTGAGACAAGAAGTGGGCACTCGGATGTGGGCTGGGATGAAAATCCCAGCACATAACAGAAAAATGCTGAGCTGGGTGCAGCCTTCCTGGCTAGGGTGCCTGGTCCCAGGTGGCCATTTGTTCAGAAGCAATTGATCAGTTGGAGTCTGGCTCAATCTCCAAATGGATGGTTTCAGCCGCATTACAATTGGGCTAAGCCAATACTTTTCTGAAAATCGGGAGTACGAAGCATAAAAGGCAGATTTACCATATCAGGTTGCCCTGGAAACCTCAAAGTGCTCAACACATATGTTTCCTGTTTGGCAACAGTGTAAAGGTTATCAGACTGCAGTTTAGGTATTTGTCTAATGATTTAAGCCCAGTGGTGCTCTAACCCGATCGCACAACAGCATCCTCGGGAGACCTAGCAGGAACATATTGCTCTCCCCACTTCCAGAGTTTCTGACTCAGCAGGTCCTGGGTGGGACCTGAGAACTCACATTTATAACAAGTTCCCAGCAGTACTGATGCTACTGGCCTTGAGACCACACTGTGAGAACTCCTGTTCTAAACCTCAACCTCTTATTTCATATTTAAAGTCAGGCAATCTTGTATAGCCCTTAATCTTGTAAACCTTGTAGCTCAGAACAAAAGAGCTGGGTTGGTTTTGTGACTGCGTGGAACTTTAAGAATAAAAACCCCATTGTCAACTTCAGGGCCGCCTGGATTGGAATCCCAGCCTTTTCTTTTATGGAAGGTTCTTGTGTCAAGATGTCCTTGCTGTAAAATTGGTACTTACACATTGAAGCCTGTTTGCGAAGAATTAAAAAAGAGATCATGTGTAAAATTCCTGCCACGCTCACACCCATTAGGATGGCTAGTTTCAAAAAACAAAATAAGCGTTCGTGAGGATCTGGAGAAACTGGAATGCTCGCGCACTGCTGGCGAGATTGTAAAATGGAGCAACTGCTATGGAAAACACTGCGCAGATTTTTAAAATAATGAAAAGTAGAATGACCATGTGATCCAGAAATCCCACTTCTGGGTCTATATCCAAAGGAATTGAAAACAGGGTCGTGAAGAGATACCTGCACACTGTGTTCATGCGCAGCACTATTCAGAATAGCCAAGAGGTAGAACCAATCCAAACGTCCATTAACAGATGAGTGGATAAACAAAATGTGGTACACACGATGGAATACTGGACATTCCGATACGTGCTACAACACGGATAAACCCTGATGACATCATGCCAATTGAAATAGGCACAGTGAAATAAGTCAGTAGAAGACAAATACCGTATGATTTCGCTTATATGAGGTACTTAGAGTAGCCAAATTTACAGAAGCAGAAGGTAGAATGGTGGTGGCCAGGGGCTGGGGGGTGGGGGATAGGGGAAGTCATTTAACGGGAGCAGAGTTTTAGTTTTACAAGATGAAAAAGTTCTGAAGATCTTTTCACAACAATGCGGCTGTCCTGAACGCTAATGAGCTGTACAGCTGAAAATGGTTAAGATGGTAAATTTTATGCTATGTGTTTTTCTCCACAATTAAAAACAACAACAACAACACTCCTACTATAATATCTGACACAGTGGGAATAACAAATGTTAGTTCCTTTTCTCCCTGCCCTTCTACCAACCTTTATCCAATTATCCATTTTTTTTTCCATTTGAAAATGTTGATAATATATCAAGAAAACCTTCTAAAATCTGTGTTGTGCATCAGTTAAAAAACGTAACCAACTGTCGACCTTGCATAGGGGGTTTTTTCATCTAAAACAACAATCAAGATGCCCTTTAAGAGTAGAAATAGAAAAAGTAACTTGTAGATTATTCATACGGTGGAATACTATATAACAACGGAAATGAATGGAATACAACTGTATGCAACAAAATGGTTAAATTGTGTAAACACAACGTTGATCAATTCATATAAGGAATAAAAGCAGGCAATGCTAAGCTAAGCTGTTAGAAGTTGCAATAGGTCACCCATGTGGGAGCGGGGAGCGACGGAGATCATCAGACTGAGATGCGGACGTTCTGTTTCTTGAACTGTGTGCAGGTCACGAGCGTGTTCTTGATTTGTGAAAAATCAACAAGTGGTCTCCTTAGGATACATACATTTTTCTGAATGTTTGTTATACTTCAATAAACATTAAAAAAAAAATGAAACCAGGAGATTTCCACGATGGAGTGATTTTATTTGAGTTATCAGATGACTTCATCCATCTGCATTTGCTGTGTACATGACCACAGAGGGTCAATACTGTCAGGAAAGAAAAAAAAAACAACAACCCAGGCCTATTTAAATAAATGACATC